ATGCACTGCGGAAAGCTGCAGGGACCTCTGCCCTGGAAAGCCGGGTATTGTCCAAGGTTTCTCCCCACTGAGACAGCCTGAGATATGGCCTTGTGGGAAGGGAAAGACCAGACCATCCCCCAGCCTGACACCCACAAAGGATCTGTGCTGAGGAGGATTAGTAAAAGAGGAAGGCCTCTTGCAGTTGAGATAAGAGGAAGGCCTCTGCCTCCTGCATGCCCCTGGGAATGGAACGTTTCAGTGTAAAACCCGATCATACGTTCGTTCTGTTCTGAGAGGAGAAAACCACCCTGTGGCTGGAGGCAGGATATGCTGGCGACAATGCTGCTCTGTTACGCTTTGCGACGCTGAGATGTTCGGGTGGAAAGAAACATAAATCTGGCCTATGTGCACATTCAGGCATAGTACCTTCCCTTGAACTTATTTGTGACATAGATTACTTTGCTCACATGTTTTCTTGCTGATCTTCTCCCCACTATCACCCTGTTCCTGCCACATTCCCTTTGCTGAGATAGTAGAAATAGTAATCAATAAATACTGAGGGAACTCAGAGACCAGTGCCGATATGGGTCCTCCATATGCTGAGCGCTGGTCCCCTGAGCCCACTGTTCTTTCTCTATACTTTGTCTCTGTGTCTTATTTCTTTCCTCAGTCTCTTGTCCCACCTGATGTGAAACACCCACAGGTGTGGAGGTGCTGGCCCCCTTCAACAGACTAAGAGTATATATTGGTCTTAGGGTGAGGGGGCTTATCACAAGCTTGGAATGTTTATGTGTGTGGAGAAGTTTATGGTGGGGTTGGACTCTCTCTGAGAGGAGAGGAGTTTATCTTGGGGTAGACATCTTTCCAGCCTGGAGTGGGGTTATCTCGGGGCTAGTATCTGTGGATGTGCCTGGTTCTGTGTATCAGCTGCAGGCATATTTTAGGGAAAATCCTCTGTGCAAGTTCCCTTACCTGAGTATGCCCAAAAAAGATAAGGGGTGTGCTCACTGAAGCCCACTGGACCTCATTTCCTTATCTGTGTTTGTAGCTTGATATTCCAAGCTGCTCTTTTTGTTAGAAAAGAATTCTTCTGAGGCCTTGTCCTAACTATCTGCCTAACTTGTTCCTTCCTCTCTCCTCTCTCATAGGCATGTGGTCGTGTCTCTCCATTTACTTGGAATTCCTCTTACATCATTTCACAGTATTTTCTTTATAAAGGTCTTATACATTTTTTTTTTTTTTTTTTTGAGATGGACTCTCACTTTTGTCACCCAGACTGGAGTGCAATGGCATGATCTCAGCTCACTACAACCTCTGCCTCCCAGGTTCAAGCGATTCTCCTGCCTCAGCTTCTGCAGTAACTGGGATTATAGGTATGCAACACCATACCCGGCTAATTTTTATATTTTTAGTAGAGACGGGGTTTCCCCAAGTTGGCCAGGCTGGTCTTGAACCCCTGACCTCAGGTGATCCACCCACCCCAGCCTCCCAAAGTGCTGGGATTACAGGCATCAGTCACTGTGCCCGGGTCTTATACATTCTTTAACAGATTAATTCCTAGATATTTACTAGATTTGTCTTCATTATAAATGGTGTTTTATTTTCTATTACTTTTTCCTTGTTGGTTATTACTTATATAAAGAAACGCTACTGATTTTTGTATGTTGATCTTATATCTGGCAACATTTAATTTCATTGCTTCCAGCCCTAGAAATAATGTGTCTCAAAGTTCCCATTAAGTGCAATGTCTGCTGTTAAACAGACTTCAGATAGATGTTATTAATTAAAATAAATTCCGATGTATTTCTAGTTATATTGTCATATATATCATGTCTCAAAAGATCTGTAATTTACAAAATACATTTTCTGCATCTATAGAAAGTTCATTGGACTTTTCTTAGTTTCTCAATTTACTGTCATTAGTGTGATGAATTATGTTGAGAAATTTTCCATTTTTTGCATTTAAAATTTTTGTTTTCCTTTTCATTTTTTAAATTTTCTATTGAGGCATAACTTCACATACTAACAGGCACAAATCTTAAGAATACAGGTCAATAAATGTTCACATATTCATCCGCTCTTGCAACCACCACCATGCCCAAAATAGAAAACATCTCTAGTACTCCACCAAGCACTCTCATTTCCTCTTCCAGTAGTAGCACTTCCCCCCAAAATGCTTGCCATTTTGAATTTCATGTACATAAAATCACATATTTATTATTGTGTGTTTGGTGTCTTTTACTGAACATTTTAGGTAGAGTTTAGTGACTCCTTGTGCTACCCTCTGCCCCACTCTGGGTGGCCCAATGAGCTTCTGCCATTTCCCAACATAAAGTTTCTTTCTAGACAGCAGTTCATTCATTCAAGTATTTCTTAAGCATCTCCTGTGTGACAGGCTCTCTCCTGGCTGTGTAGGATTCAATAAAACAAAACAAAAGCTTTGCCCTTATACAGCTTACATTCCAATAGGGAGTTAGAAAAGCATAAGTCTGAAATCTTCAATGTGAGTAATGAAATAAATCATCAAGACTGCTGAGTGGGCTGAGCTGGGATTAGACATGATGAATATATAAAATCAGAAAGATGCTATGACCTTCTCCAGCAGCACTCAGAAGCCTGGGAAGAGATAAAGTCAGCAATAGAGGGTTGGAAATTAAAATGAGGAAAAAAAAAAAAAAACAGCAACTCTTTGGCTTGATTTTCCAGCAATATATTCTAATCTCTAGAGGTTATTGCCACAACTGTTCTGCTCAATTTTAACACAATATAGCAATGCCCAGACTAATCCAGTGGTCAGCTTTTTGGCACAAACAGAAACTAGGAAATGAAAAAGATTTTAGTGAGGCCTCTAAGCTTTAGGAAAAAAATGGTTGTTATCCAGCCTTTGCCATCCCTAGCATCTCACTCAGATAAGAGCATGTAAAATTAGACAGGATTAGGAGAATGAAGATGCACAGAGACCATCAGAAAGTGACGGCTAACAGGAAGAGAAGAGAAAGTAGATGAACACCTTGCAAGGCAAATGGAGCTAAGAAATACAGGAGTCGGGGAGCACAGACTTTAACTCTTAAGGGGTGAGCATCCTGATTCAAGCTCCTTGTGAACATTTCCAAATTATTACATGGTGCAATAACTTGACATGATAGAGCCTGGAAAAGAAGAGTTATTTATATTTAGTCTACTTCATTTATGAACCCAAGGATAGATGTGATGTTGTCTTCTAGAGAGAATTCTCTGCCCCACCCCCTACTGCCAATGATATTTTTAAGTTGTCATAATTGGAGGAAAAAACTTAAATTATCATGAATATAAGCCACATGATCAGTAGTTCTTAACTTTTAGAGTCTTAGGCCCTCTCCCTAGGAAAAGAAGTCATTTATTTGCATATAAAGAAAATTTTGCACATAATTACAGGACTCTGATGCCTAGCTTTGAACTTCAGCCTGCAATCTCTGACTTATATGTAATACTCTCATGTATTAGTGATACAAAAAAATAATAAATACTGTTACTCTTCTTATTTCACTTTGCCAAAGTTAGTGAATCTTCCATGATACCCTCTCAGTTATATTTCTTAATAACAATGAGCTTAAAACCCATGTTTATAAATACAGTGTAATCCTGGTTAATCTTCCCCAGCTCCACTTCATTGCTGAGTAATTCATGCAGGGCAATATTTATTCTATATTTATTCATCTGTTCAGCGCACCACCCTGTGGCCTCACCCACCTGGAGACACCCTGGCCTGATCTCAGCTTCTTCCCATCCTCAGGCCTGTGGACCCAGGTCACAGCATGCCTCCTGCCCAGGTGCACCTGACTGCTCAATCCCTACTTTCCACCACTACCCAAATTCCCCTACAGTTTTTCAAATTCCAATTTCTTTATTAAATGTAAGAATAATGTCCTCCTTTATGGAGAGGTACTGTGACATCATCTCTGCCCAGAGTGTACTTGAACAGCAGCCCTGATTGTCCAGGAGAGTTTCCAGGACTCGACAGTCACTGAAAAGCTCTCCGTGCAGCCTTTAGATGACTTAATATCTGCATATTACAGCTCATGTCTCTGCTCTTATGGGAGCCTCTCAGGCTCTGCTCAGAGCCCATCTGCTTGCACAACACACAGAATCCTAAGAAATTCATGAATTTTTTATTGACAAAGATTAAACGCAAAATGAAGAAAGCTGGCATATATGGGGATATGAGTAACACTACATTGCGTGTGTGTGTGTGTGTGTGTGCACACATGTATGTCATCTTTGAAATCCAGGGCGCATTTCACACATATAGTATATCTCAATATACTGGCCATATTTCACATGCTCAATAGCCACTGTGGACAATGGCCACATATTGGATGGCACATCTTTAGAAAGTTAATCACACAAAGGCCTTATATATAAGGGCTCTTAGAGGAATTACTCCATCAAGAAGTGAATCTAGGAAGGAAAAATGGATATAAGAAGTAAATGTAGAGTGGTGTCACTTAAGATAGTGGAGTAGGAGAAAACAGCCTTCACCCCCAAACAACAAAACAAATATAGACAGTTATCCACAAACCAAAATAGCCCTGGGAGGGCTCAAAAGCCCATTACCCAGCACTTTGGGAGGCCAAGGCGGGTGGATCACAAGGTCAAGAGATCAAGATCATCCTGGTCAACATGGTGAAAACCCATCTCTACTATTAGCTGGGCATGGTGGTGCGTGCCTGTAATCCCAGCTACTCGGGAAGCTGAGGCAGGAGAATTGCTGAACTTGGAAGGCGGAGGTTGCAGTGAGCCAAGATCGCACCACTGCACTCCAGTCTGGGGGACAAAGCGAGACTCTATCTCAAAAAAAAAAAAAAAAAAAAGCCCATTAAAGAATCTGCAGCAACACAATAGAGAAAAAACAAACAAACAAACAAAAAACAAAACAGAATATCCACACAGAAAGGATTGCTTGTGAGACTGGCAGAACAGAGATGCCAGAAAATGGTTAGAAACAAAGAAGAAAGGCAGAGGCTACTGGCATCGGCCATATGGTAGAAGCCATCCTGTCCGCAACAGCCTGCTTCTCGGGGTATAACAGCATCTTCTGCCTTGATGTTAACCACAGCCATTACCACTGGCAATATGAAAGAGGGAGAAACTCTTGGGTTTTCCCTGCCCAAGAAACAAATGCTGCTGTGTGCCTTCAAGGCTACAGCCACCATCCCCCCTCTTGGGTGTGACCCTGACACATAAGCCTCAGCTGCCTCATAAGTGACTACACTCCAGACACCAGGTTCTGTGGCTGCACCTCACCCACCCATGTGTCAGACACCAGAGACATAGCCATAGAACAAGCTTACACCCCAGAGCCCAGAATCAAGGTCTCTCTGCACATGTATGTGCCCATCCTCCAGGCACCAGCTCAGCTGCCATAGAGAACTAGGCCCTGCCCTGACCCCGGAGCCACTGTAACTCTGACCATGTCTGTGCTCCTATTCTTGGCTGACACTTCACAAGCGCTCACATCTCATATATTGTTACCAGTGCAGCAGCAGGGGTGCCTTCTCCCAGGCACCAGCAGGCCCCAGAGCCATAGTTCCTCCACACATGCCCAAGCTTCAGATCTCAGCTCTATGGCTACTCCAGGGTACCATTCATCAATACTGATGCCGCTGCCAATGCAAATCGGCCCACAAGCTGGACCCAGTACCAAAAGGGAACTCCTCTCCACAACTTCCCCAGTTGGAGAAAAAGAAGTTGAGAGGATCTTAGCAGCTATTACCAGTGAAACCCCGACAATCTTCACCACCACTGCAGACATCCACACTGTTGGCCACTTGCAATCTTCAGCAACATCAACACCTGAGCTTACAGAGCTGCACAGAGACCACACAACAGTGGCACCCTCGCTGGTGTCAGAACTGCTACACAGCATCCAGGAAGTGCCTTCACACTTCCAAGTAGAAGAAGATCTTTCCACATTGAAACTAGCCCATAAAGTCTGAAAGGGATTGACCTTAACAAATGTGCAGAATTCAACATAAGGCAGCAAGAAACATGAAAAGCCAAGAATACATATCACCATATATTAGTCCATTTGCATTGCTATAAAGGAATACATGAGGCTGGGTAGCTTATATACAAAAAGGCTTATTTTGGCTTATGGTTCTTCAGACTGTACAAGAAGCATGGCACCAGCACCTGTTTCTGATGAGGCCACAGGAGGCTATTACTCATGGCAGAAAGCAAAGGGGGAGCAGATATATTACTTGGCAATAGGGGGAGTAAGAGAAAGATGGAGGTCTCATACTCTTTTAAACAACCAGGTCTCATATGAACTAATAGAGCAAGAACCCGCTCATTATCATAGGGTGGGCACCAAGTCATTCATGAGGGATCTGCCCCAATGGTGTAAAACCTCTCCCAAGGCCCCACCTCCAACATGATGAATTACATTTCAAAATAAGATTTGGAGGGGACAAATATCCAAAATATATTATTCCTCTCTGGTCCCCCAAATCTCATCATGTCTTGCTCATATTGCAGAATACAATCCGTTTCCAGTAGTCTCCCAAAGTCTTAACTTGTTCTAAACATCAACTCAAAAGTCTCATCTCAGGGTCAAGGCAAATTCCTTAGAGTTATGAGGCTGTGTGATCAAAACTAAGTTATTTACTTCCAAGATACAATGATAGTACAAGCATTGGGTAAACATTCCCTTTCCAAAAGGAAGAAATCTTCCAAAAGAAAGCGACAACAGGTACCATGCAAGTCCAAAACCCAACAAGGCAGACAATAAACCTTAAAGCTCCAAAATAATCTCTCTTGACTCCATGTTCCACATCCTGAGCACATTGGTGCAAGGGGTAGGCCCTCCAAGCCCCGGACAGCTCCATCACCATGACTTTGTTGGGTGCAGGTCACGTGGCTCTGCTTTCATGGGTTGGAGTAGAATGTCTGCAGCTTTTCCAGGCTGAAAGTGCATACTGCTGGTGGCTTTACCATTCTGGGGGTCTGGAGGGTGTTAGCCCAGTTTGCACAGTTCTACTAGGTAGTCCCCTAGTGGAGACTCTGTATGGGGGCTCCAATCCCACATTTCTCCTCATCATTGCCTTAGTAGAGGCTCTCCGTAGGGGCTCTGCCCTTGTGCCAGGTTTCTACCTGGGAACCCAGGATTCCCCATACATCTTCTGAAATATAGGTGGAAGCTGCCAAGTCTCCATAACTCTTGCATTATGCACACCTGCAGATCTAATACCATGTGGAAGCCCCAAGGCTTATGACTTGCACTCTTTGGAGTGGCAAGCTGTATCTGGGGCTGTTTGAGCCAAGGCTGGAGCCTGTGCTGCAAGTATGCGGGGAGCAGCATTGCAAGGTAAGACAGCCCAGGGCAATTGTGCCCTGGGCCTGACCCCTAAAACCCATCTGTCCTTTTAAGCCTCTGGGCTTGTGATGGGAGGGGTGGCCTGGGAGATTTCTGAAATGCCTTTTCCCCATTTTACTGAATATTAGCACTTGACTCCTTTTTAGTCATGCTAATCTCTCTAGAAGAGTTTGTTTCCCAGCCTGCATGGATCCTTCTCCTTTGGATTCCTCCCCTGAAGATGCTCTTTCCTTCTCTACCACATGAGCAGGCTGAGGATTTTTGCTCCCATATCTGACTGTAGGTTGTTAGAAGTAGCCATGCCACTTCTGGAATGCTTTGCTGCTTAGAAACTTTTTCCGCCAGATATCCTAGGTCATCACTCTTAAGTTTAGCTGTCCATAAAGTCCTAGGACATGAATAAAATGCAGTTAAGTTATTTGCTAGGGAGTAACAAGGGTGAATTTACTCCAGCCCTCAGTAAGTTTCTCATTTCCATCTGAGACCTTGTCAGCCTAGCCTTTACAGTCCATAATTCTATCTGCATTTTGGTCACAACCACTTAACCAGTCTCTAATAAGTTCCAAAGTTTCCCTTATCTTCCTGTCTTCTTCTGAGCCCTCCAAACTGCTTCAATCTCTGCCTGTTACCCAGTTCCAAAGCCACTTTCACATTTTCAGGTATCTTTATAGCAATACCTCACTACTCAGTACTAATGTTTCTGTTATTAGTCCATTTTTCATTGTTATAAAGGAATGCCTGAGGCTAGGCAATTTATAAAGAAAAGAAGTTTATTTTGGTTTATGGTTCTGTAGACTGTACAAGAAGCATGACATCAGCAACTGCTTCTGGTGAGGCCTCAGGAAGCTATTACTCATGGTAGAAGGTAAAGGGGCATGTCACATGGTGAGGGGAAGCAAGAGATTGTGGGGAGGTCCCAGACTCTTTAACAACCAGATATCACATGAATTAATAGAGCAAGAACTTACTCATTACTGTGGGAAGGCCACCAAGCCATTCATGAGTGATCTCTCCCTGTGATCCAAATACCTCCAGGCCCCACCTTGAAAATTGGAGATTACATTTAAACATAAGATTTAGAGGAGACAAATATCCAAAGTATGCCACACCACAAAACAAACAAAAAACCAATAATCTCCCAGTAGCTGACCCAAAAGAAATGGAGATATATAAATTGCCTGACGAAGAATTCAAAATAATTGTTATAAAGAAGCTCAGAGAATTTCAATAAAAATACAGAAAAGCAATTCAATTAAATCAGAGAAACATAAATGAACAAAATAGATCAAAATCATATACAAAATAAACAGAGATTGAAATCATATGCAAAAATAAAAATTCTGGAGCTGAAGAATTTGGTGAATGTAATGCAAACTACAACAGAGAGTATCAACAGCAGAATTAATAAAGCAAAAGAAGAATCTGTGAATTCAAAGACAGGTTATATGAAAGTATACAGTCAGAGGAGAAAAAAGAAAAAAAACTTTAAAAATGAAGAAAGCTTAAAGAATGTATGGGGAAGCATCAGGAGAACAAATATTTAAATTATGGATGACCAAGAAGCAGAAGAGAAGAACAACTACAACAACAACAACAACAAAACAACAGAAAGCTTATCTAAAAAAATAAAAGCTTCCTGGGGCATAAGGGGCACCAAAGAATATAAATAAACAAATAAATAAAAGTTAGAAATTTTCCAAATCTGGGGAAAGATATAAATATTGAGGTATAGGGAGGTCAAAAGTCTCCAATCAAATTCAATCCAAATAAGACTGCACCAAGCCATATTATGATCAAACTGTCAAAAATCAAAGACAAAGAGAGGATCCTGAAAGCAGCAAGGAAAAAGAAGCATATCACATACAAGAGGGCTCTAACAAGGCTGGCAGTGGATTTCTCAGAAGAAACCTTACAGGCCAAGAGAGAGTGGGATGATATAGTCAACATGCTGAAGGGAAAAAAACCCTGCAAACCAATAATACTTTACCTGACAAAGCTGTCCTTTAGGAAATGATAAAGACTTCCCAGAAAAGAAAAGCTGAGTGAGCTTGTCACCACCGGACATACCTTACAAGAAATGCTAAAGGGAATTCTTTAACCTGAAAGAAAAGGATGCTAACAAGTAACATGAAAACATATAAAAGTATAAAATTCACTGGTAAAAGTAAGTACAGTCAAATTCACAATACCCTAATACTGAAATGGTAGTGTGCAAATCACTTATATCTTTAGTATGAAGGTTAAGCCTGGGCAGGCTCATGCCTGTAATCCCAGCACTTTGGGAGGCCAAGGTGGGTGGATCACCTGAGGTCAGGAGTTTGAGACCAGCCTGGACAACCTGGTGAAACCCTATCTCTACTAAAAATACAAAAATTAGCCGCGTGTAGTGGCACACACTTGTATCCCAGCTACTCAGGAGGCTGAGGCAGGAATCACTTGAACCCAGGAGGTGGAGGTTGCAGTGAGCCAAGATCAGGCCATTGCACTTCAGCCTGGGTGACAAGAGTGAAAATCCATCTCAAAAAAAGGGGGAGGGTTAAAAGACCAAACTATTAAAAAGAATAACAACTACAACGATTTGTTAAGGGATACACAATATAAAAAGATGTAAATTATTACACAAACATATAAAATGTAGTTGGAGGGGCACTGGAGTAAAAGCACAGAGGTTTTTGTGATCAAGGTTAAGTTGTTATCAGCTTAAAATAGCCCATTGTAACTATTTGATGTTTTATGTAAGCCTATGGTAACCACAAAGCAAAAATCTATAGTAGATACAGAAAAGATAAAAAGTAAAGAATCAAAGCATGCCACTAGAGAAAACCATCTAATCACAAAGGAAAACAGCAAGTGAGCAAGAAAGGAAGAAAGGATCTACAAAATAACCAGTAAACAATGAGCAAAATTACAGTAGTAAGTCCTTACCTATTAATAATTACCTTGAATGTAAATGGATTAAATTCTCTAATAAAAAGAGTGACTGAATTGATTTAAAAAAAGGAAAAAAACAGACTCAACTACATGCTACCTACAAGAGACTCACTTTGCCTTTAAGAACACACATAAATTGAAAGTGGAGGGATGGAAAAAGATATTTCATACAAATGGAAACCGAAAGAGAGCAGAGATAGCTATATTTACATCAGATAAAATAGACTTTAATTCAGGAGAACATTGACTACATAAAAAAAGAGACTAAGTTAACTATAAAAAGAGACAAAGGTCATTATATAATGATAAAGGAGCCAATTCATCAAGAAGACAAAATAATTACAAATATATATATCCTCAACCTCAGAGCATCTAAATATATAATGCAAATATTAATAGACCTGAAGAGAGAGATAGACTGCAATACAATAACAGTAAGGGAACTTAATACCTCCACTTTCAACAATGGACAGATCATCCAGACAGAAAGTCAATACAGAAATATTGAACTTGAGCTACACTTTAGACAAAATGGACCTAATAGACATATACAGAACATTCTACACAACATAAGCAGAATATATTCTCAAGAGCACAGAGAACCTTCTGCAAGATAGATTATATGTTAGGCCACAAAACAAGTATTAACAAATTTAAGAAAACTGAAATCACATCAGGTATCTTTTCCAATTACAATGGCATGAAATTAGAAATCAATAGGAGGAATTTTGAAAATTTACAAGTATGTGGAAATTAAACAACATGCTCCTAAACAACTAGTGATTGAAGAAGAAATTACAAGGAAAATTTAAAAATATTTTGAAACAAATGAAAGTGGAAACACAACATGCCAAAACATATGAGATGTAGCAAAAGCAGTTCTAAGATGGAAGTTTATAGCAATAAATGCCTACATCAAAAAAGAAGGATCTTAAATAGACAACCTAACGTCATACCTCCACAAACTAGAAAAAGAGAACAAATTAAGGTTCAAATTAGCACAAGAAAGGAAATAATAAAGATCAGAGCAGAAATAAATGAAATGTACTAGAAAAACAGTAGAAAAGATCAAAGAAACTAGGAGTTGATGTTTTGAAAAGAGCAAAATCAACAGAGCTTTAGTTAGACTAAAAAAAGAGAAGACCCAAATAAACAAAATCAGAAATGAAAGATGAAACATTACAACTGATACTACAGAATATAAAGGTTCATAAGAGCCTGCTATGAACAATGATGTGCCAACAAATTGGATAAACTAGAAGAAATGGATGAACTCCTAGATATATATAACCTAGGAAGACTAAATCATGAAGAAATAGAAAATCTGAACAGAGCAATAACAAGTGAGAATATTGAATAAGTAATAAAAAGTCTCCCATCAAAGAAAAGCCTCACAATCCGACGCTTCACTGCTGAATTCTACCAAACATTTAAAGAACTAATACCAACCCTTCCCAAGTGCTCCAAAAACTTGCAGAGGAAGGAATACTTCCAGATTTATTGAATAAGGCCAGCATTACCCTGATACTAAAGTCAGACAAGGACACTGCAAGAAAAAAATATATTACAGAAATTCCAGGAGGGTGAGCGAGTGCTGTGCTTTCATGGGCCTCTTCTTTATGAAGCAAAGTGTGTAAAGGTTGCCATAAAGGACAGGCAAGTGAAATACTTTTTACATTACAGTGGTTGGAATAAAAATTGGGATAAGTGGGTTCCAGAGAGCAGAGTACTCAAATACGTGGACACCAATTTGCAGAAACAGTGAGAACTTCAAAAAGCCAGTCAGGAGCAGTATGCAGAGGGGAATATGAGAGGGGCTGCCCCAGGAAAGAAGACATCTGGTCTGCAACAGAAAAATGTTGAAGTGAAAACAAAAAAGAACAAACAGAAAACACCTGGAAATGGAGATGGTGGCAGTACCAGTGAGACCCCTCAGCCTCCTCGGAAGGAAAGGACCCAGGTAGATCCTACTGTTGAAAATGAGAAAACATTCATGAACAGAGTTGAAGTTAAAGTAAAGATTCCTGAAGAGCTAAAACTATGGCTTGTTGATGACTGGGACTTAATTACCAGGCAAAAACACCTCTTTTATCTTCCTGCCAAGAAGAATGTGGATTCCATTCTTGAGGATTATGCAAATTACAAGAAATCTCGTGGAAACACAGATAATAAGGAGTATGCAGTTAATGAAGTTGTGGCAGGGATAAAAGAATACTTCAACGTAATGTTGGGCACCCAGCTACTCTACAAATTTGAGACACCACAGTATGCCGAAATTCTTGCAGATCATCCCGATGCACCCATGTCCCAGGTGTATGAAGCACCACATCTCCTCAGATTATTTGTACGAATTAGAGCAATGTTGGCCTATACACCTCTGGATGAGAAGAGCCTTGCTTTATTACTCAATTATCTTCACGATTTCCTAAAGTACCTGGCAAAGAATTCTGCAACTTGGCTTAGTGCCAGCGATTATGAAGTGGCTCCTCCTGAGTACCATCGGAAAGCTGTGTGAGAGGCACTCTCACTCACTCATGTTTGGATCTCCGTAAACACATTTTTGTTCTTAGTCTATCTCTGGTACAAATGATGGGCTTTGAAGATGTTAGTGTATAACAATTGATGTTTGTTTTCTGTTTGATTTTTAAACACAGAAAATAAAAGGGGCAATAGGTCCTTTTTTCTTTTCTTTTCTTTTTTTTTTCATTTCAAATTTGCTGCCAGTGTTTTCAATGATGGGCAACAGAGGGATATGCTGTAGAGTGTTTTATTACCTAGTTGACAAAGCTGCTTTTGAATGCTGGTGGTTCTATTCCTTTGACACTACGTACTTTTATAATACGTGTTAATGCTATATGACAAAATGCTCTGATTCCTAGTGCCAAAGGTTCAATTCAGTGTATATAACTGAATGCACTCATCCATTTGTGATCCTTTTTTTTTTTTTTTTTTAATAGTGCTTAAAGTAAAGAGCCCATCCTTTGCAAGTCATCCACGTTGTTACTTAGGCATTTTATCTTTGCTAAAATTGTTGAAGAATGGTGGCTTGTTTCATGGTTTTTGTATTTGTGTCTAATGCATGTTTTAACATGATAGACGCAATGCCTTGTGTAGTTAGTTTTCTGGAAAAGTCAATCTTTTAGGAATTGTTTTTCAGATCTTCAATAAATTTTTTCTTTAAATTTCAAAAAAA